TTTTAGTACAGGAGCCAATTATTGAACGCTATATGACGAATAAAGCCTGTCTTTTAGTACAGAAGCCAATCATCAATCGCTACATGGCGAATAAAGCCTGCCTTCTAGTACGGGAGCCAATCATCGATCGCTATAGAATTCTCAGAGGGAGATTTTGTATGATTTGGACATTTAGAAATAAAACTAAAGACACAGTTGTTGTTTAATTTTTTTGATGATTCCTAATATGAAATTCAATTGTAAGCATGGCAAGCTGTTTTGGGAGAATCTGATGTTTCCTCAATAAGACAGAATGCCTGAGCATGCTGCCCGAGAGGTGTTTCAAAGATGGATGGCGAGTGAAATGACTTGCCTTAAAGGGACTTTGATATAAACTACAAACTGTTGAACTGTTAAAAAGTTGAATAAAACAAAATAAAACTTGGTTAAAAACAAATGCCTTCAGGTGATAGCTGGCTATCCATGCTTTTGTGTTCTGGTTCAATCTGGTTGATCAGCTGGCTAATGCAGAGTTCAGACAGCACAATTTTCAAAGTAGTCGCATCTCAGATGCTTTCACATTGCATAACTATCTGGGGTAGCGCTCCATCACTGCTGTGTTTACACTGCAAGATGAATGGGCGACAGGAGGTTTCACACTGAATGACTTCACATTAGGAAGAATTGCAGAAAACTACGTCTCGCAAACACACACACACACAAACAAGATGTGACATGGAAACAATCCAATGTCATGTCACATATCTTTTGTTATTAACTACATAATGAGAAAGAAGTCTTTAGTGGGGTAAAAATTTTACTTCTTTTGATCACCTGGGTTTTGAAGGGAATTAGCAATTTCTCCTCAGCTATTTTCTTTTATGACCCGATTGTGACGCTGCTCAGATGACACGTCAAACACACACGGGTGCTCCTGCCAATTTTTTACTAGTTTTTCCTCCATATCTTGGGTCCAAATGGACCTAAAAGAAATGCTTTTAACTTCTCCACCAGCCTTCCGCTGACCTGCAGATACCCATACAAGTGAATGCTGCTCTCTCATTGGCTGTAGGTGATCACCGATGTTTCTTTTCATCAGAACACATTTCACACAGCACGATTTTGAATCGACGACAGCTCCATATATTTAGCATGCCAAATATCTCACGGGTGACGACGACTCATCTGCAATTCACTCAGATTGCGTCTTTTGATAGTTCATACTGTGTAATTGTTACTTATGTAAACGAGCATCGATTTGCCTGTGATTTCATGTATTTGTCAACAATTTCTTAATAACTGTCAAAACTGAACCAAAATTATGCAGTTTGAACTCAGCATATGAGTAACCTGGTTATAGCTGGCTAGCTTTGGTCTAAAAACAAAATGTTTTAGGCCTAAATGGAGAGGAAAAGTTGCACATAATATAAAACATAATTTAAAATATAGTACTAAATAAGTTTTTTTTAACAAACAAAAAAACTCAAATAAACGAATAAAAAACATCAATCTACAAGAGTCGATTACATGAAAGCACTAAATACAAAAGTTTAATAGGAGCAAAAAAAGACAAACATTCGGTGGTGAAGAGCATCCAAACACTTCAATCTGGGTGCCATCTGGAGAGCAGTCCATCATGACTGCTGTTTGCTCTGGGAAACAAAAGCTTTGTAATTGTTTATTGAACACTAAGCTTTCGATCAATGTATTTTTATCCTGCCTGAAAATCGGACTTCTCAATAAGCTTTAATTTGCATTTAGTCTAACAGCAGATTCCTATCTCAAAATACCTCAATTAATGTCCACTTTAAGAAAAACGAGTAAACAGCTACATCTAAAACATATCATTTCTAATACCACCACCAAGACGGTTCTTGTCTGGCAAATTGCGCATGTAACCGTAAGTGTATCAAATTTACGGTGAAATAAAGTGCAGCAAAAACTTTCTGAACCGGAAATTTGCATAGAAATGAGCAAAAGCCGAAGAGCCGGGCACAGCTGCAGTCTGTTTAAAGTGAGGGATATTTATGGGATAAGGGAAGGAGAAGATGCATGAAGGAGCATCTCGGAGAAAGAGGCAGATGACAGATTGGACTGCAAAGCTCTGTCGGTTTTCACTGACAAGAGAGGCATGTCAAAAGTGACCTCAATAACCAGTCTGCCACACGCACACACTCACAAACACACACACAGACAACGACTTTAAGCACACACACGCACCCTTCACACGTCATTCTTCACTGTGCAGCAAATTATGCAGCACGGACATGAGGAAATGCAAAATCTCACATTTACATATGGTGTTATACCATTGGAATTAGAATACCGCATGCAAACACATCTATACTGAGACTCAACTGACACTTTCAGTAGCTTATAGATCTAAAATTACATCTAAAATGGTTCAGAAACAACTGCCTTTTATTTGTCTCCAATACAATTTAGAGTACTGACTGAAATAATGACCGATTTCCACTCAGATCCCACAGTCTTGGATCTCAATGTGGCAACAGACAGCAGCAATCAAGCAATTTAAGTCCAATAGGTGTTACTGGAAAATTTTACTGTTTGTCCTTTAGTAAATCTGTATATCTCAAAGTGAGTCATAAAAAATGCCATTCTAGGCTAATTGAAAAAGAAAAACAGGATTTTCCACCAGTCATAGTGTGACCAGTTGGTTTAAGTTAAACAGTGTCATCCTCAGATCCAGCAAATGCATATTTTGTGCACACCAAGTTTGGCAAATGTCATTCTGTTTCAGAGTTATGGAGAGCTTTGTAAAAGTGTCCCTAGCCAAAATCATGAATTGAAATGTCAACTTTTTTGGATTGCATTTGATATACAGATTATCTAATTATGACACTTGGTTCAGATTGTGTGGAAAAAAACTAGGACTATGGTTCTCCTAAGTTTTTGTTTTTAAAAATGCTGAATACCCAAAAGTGTGCATTGCAGGGCTTGTGTCAAAGACTTCAACTATACAAAGCACTTCAGTATGTGGCCAGCTGTTTAGGACTTATGAGCAACTGTGCATTTTAAACCACTGTAGCACCACCGCCAGGCCGATTGTGGCGAGCCTTGGTGACCATCTATGTAATGTAATGTGATGTCTGTATTTATATAGCACATTTATTGTGTATGGCCATACACTCATAGCACTTCACAATTATGAGGGGGTCTCTCCACACCACCACCAGTGTGCAGCATCCACTTGGTTGATGCAACGGCAGCCACAGAATTACGGCGCCAATGTGCTCACCACACACCAGCTTTTGGAGAGATAGTGATAGAGACAATTCAGTGGATGGGGATGATTGGGAGGTCATGATCCGTAAGGGTCGATAGAGAGAATTTGGCCAGGACACCTACTTTTTTACGAGAAGTGCCATTAGATTTTTAATGACCAGTAGGAGTCAGGACCTCAGTTTAACGTCTCATCTGAAAGATGGTGCCCAGTGACACTTGTGCCCCCTTCACTTTACTGGGGCATTAAGACTCGCACATACCACAGGTTGAGCGACCCCTGCTGGCGTCACTAACACCACTTTTAACAGTAATCTAGTTTTCTTATGTGGTCTGACCAGACTCAGCCCTGCTAAGCTTCAGTGAGTAACTGGTACTGGGCTGCAAGGTGATATGGCTGTGGTTTACTAGCAAAGTTTCAAGTCTCTACGACTTACATTTTGGTCTGCGTGAGCCGTTTTGGGCTAAAAAAAAAAGAGACCTTTAAATTTATTTAAACAGTTACAATATGGTTTCACAGCTATGCTTAAACTCCTAATGATATTACATGTAAACTGTAAGTTTGAAAATGGTATAAATGGAGGTCGGAGCCAGTCGCAAATGGGCAGGTCAGCTCCAAATGAGTGTTACTTGAGTTCCAAGTAAGTTGTACAAACCTCCGTAAGATTTATCTAGGCCCAATCCCAACTCTACCCCTTACCCCTACTCCTCATAATGCGGGTTCCTGTGAAGGGGTAGGGGAGTTTCAGTTCTTTTTAGCTCAAGCCGTAGGGCTAAGGGAAAGGGATAAATAGCCCTTTGAACGAAGATTTTTCAGTACCACACTCAAAACCAAGGGCTAAGAAAATTTATCCAGAATACAACGGCAGGATAGTTACACCCGGAAGTAAGGAGATCGACAAATAAGTATTTTATGTCATTATTATGAATTTTTACAGCGGACAAACATCTGTTTCAATATATTTACAACCGCGTTCGTGTTTTACCGTCATGGTTAAAAAAAAAAAAAAAAAAAAACACTAAAATAAGAACCAAAAATTTTGCGATTTATAATCCAAAATCATAACTCCAGTATAGCAGTCCCACAACATTGTCACTTGATGACAGTCGAATTCGCTGTCAGTAATGTCTAGTGGCTGGGAATGTGCTTTTTACAGAGTCTGCTATAATGTTAATGCTGTTTTTTTGTGTTTTTACATAGATGAATAATGCACAGCATTACGATCTGATTTCCACATATATCATTATAATAACTTAATATATGCCTTCAGTGATTTCCTGAAGATAAATACCAAGAAACAACACAACTGCAATAACTATAGCAGTCACCATCATCTGATCTCATATGAAGCAAGAGATTGCGATGACATCTAATGACAAGTGCAGGTGCTGTAGTGATGTCCCAAATCTTAGGGGTAAATTTTAAAGCCCTTTACACTCGGTTTTAAGGGCCAAGCGGAAGGGGTAGGGGTACAAAAATGAAATTAGGATTAGGCCTTAATGACTTGTAGATGGCATGCAGTCCAGCCTATTGTGTTTTATTATCTTCGTCTACACCTACCCCAACCCTAAACTCAAACTTACAGTAACCTGTTGTGTTTTATTAATATACCAACCACAAACCTAAACCAACATACTGTGGCGTAAGTTTCTTCCACATGGAAGACCCGATACTTTTACGATACATTTGTCTGAATAGGTCATTTCTGTTTAGTGATGGTCGTGGTGTAAATATTCAACACTTCAGCTGTAATGAAGAATAAGAAGAAATTATTTACCTCTCGTTGTCCACTGGTCTGAAGCCTGGCAGGATGTGTCTGAAACTGCTGTTCCTATCCAGTTTAGGCTGACTCTTAGTCCGCTTGATTGAGCCTTTTAACCTCCGACTCAAAAAACCCTGATAATGAAAAGACACAGAATAAGAGAGATTATAATCATCATCTTCTACCGTTATTTCGTACATTCAATCACTGGTTAATTCTCCCACATTATACACCCTTTTTCCCCTTGAAAGCACCTGTCACATTTTTGCGGCTCAAGACTCAACTTCCTTTAGGCGGCAGTTACCATGGAGACAGCAGGTTGGCATCAAGGGCACAAAAAAGAAAGGGAGGAATAAAGTGAGAAAAGGAAAGAATGAGATAGAAAAGGATCGTAAAAGTCAAGGACAAAGTACAATCCTCACAGTAAAAACACAAATAAAAAACTGAAAACGTGTGACAACCCAACAGAAAGAGAGAAAACCAGGAGAAAACATGTGCAAAGGGTATGAAGATGGAAAGAGAGGCGAGACAGCAGAAATAAGAAGTTTCTGACAAGAAAGTGTTGGTAAACAAACAGCCCCCCCCCCCCCCACCAATTAACACAACTGCATATTCTACATAATTAAAGCACCCTGCTGATTACTATTCACAATATATGCAAATGATAACATGCAGACATCTCTTAATCACAGAGCAATCAGTCAGAGAACTGCAGCCTACAGTTTGCAAGCACCAAAAGAAAGGGAAAATCAAATCAGAAGGGGACTGAGAGAGACAACGACAAGCAGACATCTGAATAATAAACAATCTCCTCTGTCCAAACACTACAGGAATTTGTAAAAATACTGCAGCAAATCTGGAAATGTTGTCAAGCCACTGTTTGTGTTTTGAAAGGTGATAGAGGGTAAATAGTAGGGCTGCAACAATACAAACTGAAAGTTTTATTGGTTGAGTTTTGGGCTACATGTTTCCAGTTTACAACAGCAAGAACCAAAAGTCAAAAGTGACTTGGTGATTGATTGTTTTGACAGATATTGTCTAACTTAACTAAGATTCCCTTATGACTCCAAATTATATAATTCATTTTTTTTCCTGTTCGTTATAGAATTTTCCTCTGCTCACCAAGGCTGATTAATTTACTAGCCAGTACTCACTTCTGGGGATTTACACCTACCTAACATTTAAATACTAACAGTTCTTGACTCCGCTAAGCTACAAACATTAATTAGGTATCATTGGAAAGAAGTCGCTTTGAGCTTTACTACGGCCCATCTAGAAAGTCTCATGCTAAAAAAAAAAAAAAGTTATACATTATAATGTAATGAAGAAAAAACTTATGTTTAATATTTGTTTTTCATATACAAACACAGGAAAACATTAATGTAATAATAGCCTAAAAATGTGCCTTGAAAGCCAAGTGTCTCATGAGTTTATATTTCAAATTTGAAGAAGATAGCATGCAAAATCAGATTTCTGTAAACGTTTTCCGAGACTACAGATGTGTCTCAAATCAAATACTTATGCACTTATGTAATTTCTATGCCATTTTGTAGTATAAACAGCGTAAGTAGTGCGTTCACATTGAAAACTCTAAAAATAATAAGTGCACTTTAAATACCCAGATGATGCACTTATTCAACTGGTAAAATAAAGTGTGGAACACTTCATGACCGCAGCTTTGCTCACATAGTGGAAGGGGCAGAGCTTTCGGGTACTCATGATGGATTACTTTTATTTATTTTGGATTGTGAAAGCAGAATTCTCCTATGAGAGTGATTATAGCTCCTACCGATGGTGAATGCAGTTATACTCATGGCAGGTATTATTTGGTACTTTGATCATTTATTTCACTAATTTGGCAACAGACAAACGTCATCTGGGAAACGGTTTAAATTTCCGCTTAGTAAAAAAACATCAGTGTTCCATTTGGGACGACACTACATTCATATACTATGCTGTTGAGAGTGTGTAAGTGTACAAGTACATAGTGCATAAGCGCATAGTGTATAGTATAGTGTGCCATTTGGAGCGCAGCTTATATTGGGTGTCCTCCTTTTGTCACCATGAGAGGCACTTTCTCATAAATGACAAAAATACAGCAAAAACAGTACCACAGAGAGAAATGATTCCATTTACCCAGCCTCCACATGCTCCAAAAATATTTGAGTTTCTCTGTTTTGTTAAACACAAAGAAAAAAACATTGAAATCCATACTATCAAGGAAAAAAATACTAAAGACAATTGCTGCCAGATTTACTTTTTTTTCAAAATGTTTTCTTTTTTAACTGAATCTCTTTATTTACAATCTTATAAAACATTAAAAATTAAACTAATTGTAGTGCACACAATTCTGTAACATTCCTATAATGCAAATGTGCAACATGCAATGCAACATCTGGCTGACATTTTCACAGTGTCATTAAACTTATAAAAAAGCTTCCTAAAGCATGTCAGTCAAACAGATATCAACAGCAACAAAACAGTCATGTGGATCAAAACAACATTCTTTGTTAAGCATCAAATTAGAGTTTTTAATTGATTGTATTTGAAATCTTATGCATGATTAAAGAAATTATATTTTTAAAGGAACAATAACTATATGAGAATGTCATGTGATCACATAAATGTCATGTTTAGAATAAAACTGTTAATGTATTTGGTGTGGACAGTTATATAATCATGTTTGTTGGTGCAGTAAACAGCCTTTATCTATTTTAGTTTGAATCATATTTCGTACACGACACATAGCATTTGTACACAGATATGGAAAATCTGATTTAATGTTGTTGCAGCTCTAGTAAATAATTGAGTGGTGGTGTGCAATTTCATGCCCTGTTAATAGGCAGCTATCGAGCAGGTCTGTCAAACAGGTCATGGATGTTGACAGTCAATATCCAGAGGCGGATCATTGTCCCACGAGGTCTTCACGCAAGATTTCTGCAGGATCTCATCATCCTTATTTCTGCATTAAATCACAAAACAAATTCTGTAACAGTTTTCTATTTTGTGAACGCACCCAAGAAAGCTGGGTTAAGTGTATCTGCCAGAAATTAAATGAAGCCGATATCATTTATAGGCTGCCAGGAGGCAATCGATGGGAAAAGAATGGAATGTATTTAATACATTTAACAAGGCTTGTTATTAAACTAGATGTTATTTTATTTAGCCATTACAAAATTAAATAATAGCTAAATCAAATAACAATTTCTTGTTGAACAAATCGTGTCTGCCGGGTATAAACTGAAACACCATTATATCATCAAATACAGGTTGACACACAATAAACTTGAGGCTACTGAGTAACTATATTGATCAAAAGAGAACAGTGAAGGGGAGTGAATGGTGGATGCTGATAGACTAAATGCATCCACTTTGTAAAACCACAATCCACGTTACCATCCTCTTTAGATGAATTATGCTGCACACGTGAAACGTAACATGTAAATAACACATAAAATTATTTTGGGTTTAAATTCCGTTTTGCTGAAAATTTCTTCCTAAACTTAGACTCAATAGTTCCTTCACTGAATGGGGATTTATTCAGGATGAATGTTGGTGATCTGTTTGGCAGCTGTTTGTACCAGAAGAGATAAATATTTGTGTCTGAAGCTGTAGTAGTGTAGTTACACATTAAAATGACTGGATCTCCTTCATTTTCAGTCATTTCTCCAGAAGGCCGTTGAACTTTGTTTTGCCCCTCTTCACACTGAAAATAAATCTTCAACTATTAATTTTAACATATATAAAATAACTTACAGATAAACAAATCAGAGATTGTAAAAGATGACCTTTCTTACAAAAGTCCTATGCTATGAAGAAAGGAAAAATAATAACCAGTGTTGTCACTGCTGAGATGAAGAAATAGTTATAGTTATATATATATATATATATATATATATATATATATATATATATATATATAATTATATTATTATTATTATTATATAATTATTATAATTATACATTATATGTATGATGTGTTGGTCTTTATTGTTTACTTTTGGTATTTGGGACTAAAAGAAATACAGTTTTGGAACCTCTTGCAATGTAAAAATTGAATTTATAATTTCTTAAGCATAGTTTATTATTATTCATCTGTTTGTAAATACAGGAATGTAATAGCGTTTTTTAATGTTTAAAATAAGGGATGCTCTGATCGATCAGCTGAAGATCAGTATTGGCCGATAATCACATTTAATGACTCGATAGATACTCGCCAATCAGTAATGTAATGTGTATTTATATAGCGCATTTATTGTGTATGGCCATACACCCAAAGCGCTTTACAATCATGAGAGGGGTCTCTCCACACCACCAGTGTGCAGCATCCACTTGGATGATGCGACGGCAGCCATAGGACAACGGCGCCAGTGCGCTCACCACACACCAGCTATTGGTGGAGTGGAGAGACAGTAAAAGTCTGGCCGATTTCATGAACCGATCGCAAGTGTTTATAAGTTTACAAGCAGAGGAGGACGCACTCACGCTCCTGTATTTTATTCATAGCCTACAGCAGCTACAACATGTGTGGAGGTAAATGGCGATATCAGAATCGGTACTCTGTATCGGCTGATCACCATGACAAAAAAGAATTGGTACTCTGTATCGGCTGCACAAATCCTGATCAGAGCATCCCTATTTAAGATTTATTTAAGCTACTGCAGAAAAAAACAACTATTTTCAATGTATCCGAATGTGTGTGTTTATAAAACTATTAATATCATACTAATTTCTTCATGACTGATAGCATGCATACCCGAGGATGTGGATGATGTAACATTAGTAACTAGGCAGTTGAAAACTCTGCATTTGTCTGTCTTTTGTTAGTGCACTTTTAAAAGATGTTTGGCCAGATTGCTTGTGTTTTCTGCTTTTAACAACAAAACAACTTGTTGCATATGTTGCAATGAGCATTATCAGTGTCCACTATAAATATAACCATGCAGACAGTTTGGTTCTCTTCACCATCGTCATCATCATTCTACCTGCCTTTGACATTTGTCGTCACCCTCGCGAAACGCTGATTTGCATTATGGTACCAGCTGCCGTTTTGTGGGGTATTCGAGTAACAGTTTTATGGTTTTAGCATCTTTCACAGAGTAAATACAAAGATTTAGGAAAAGATTCAAAATAA